GGTGTTTCTGCCTTTCTCTCCCTCTCCTTTCCTCTCTGAAATTAATATATGTATATATAAAAATAATTTTGTAGTAATGCAGTGACAGTAATACTCCTGTCGTTGTACACCTGCCGTGGCTATGTGTCTATGTAACTCATTCTCATTTAATCTTCTCATTTAATAAATGAGGAAACAGGGTGAAGGGATGTGCTCAAGGTCAGGCTGCTGGTGGCGCTGATTCCACCCAGGCCTGCTGGTCCTCCACCCACCCACCCACCCAAGCTTCCCCTGCAGGCTACCTGGGCCCTCGGCCTGTGCAGAGGTGGTGCTGTGCTGTCCCTGGCGTCGGTTCACGTCAGTCTTTTAATAGGTACTGCATGGGGCGACCCGCCATACTTTATTCCAACATACCTCCAGAACCCTCATCATTATTTTAAAAGGTGAATCATGATACTGGCTACAGTGAGTCAAAGACTTAAACACAGGTTTTGACTGATGAGCCTTTCTGCCTCTGGCTAAGGTAGCTTTCCCAGAAGCCAGAGCGCTACTGGCCAGGAGTGTAGCATAAGTGGCCATCTTTACAGCACTCTACAGCTCAGTGAGGAGCATTGACGACCCTCTAGTCATCCTGCCAGGAGCACGTTACCTTCATCGTTTGAGAATCTTGATCCTTTGTTCTCTTAAAACAAATGTTGGCTGAGGTAGGCTTTGTGTCTTGTCTTTTTTAACTGGCAAAGTATACACTTCATGCAGGAGCCCAGTGCCCTTGTCCTGCCTTGCGCGCTGCTCGGATCACAAGTGCTGTAGACACGGCCCTGTAGACCCCGCCGTGGGTGCAGTGACAGGCTCACCACGCCCACAGGTGACTTCTGGCGCTGTAGCAGCCCAGCTCTCTGCCTGCTCTCCTTGCTTGCCAGCTCTAGGTGGCTTGTGTTGAGCCCTTAAAATTCAGAGCAAAACTGCTTTGACTCAGCACCGTGCTCCGTCTCAGTGCTCGCGCTGCCGTGGGTAAGCCCACCGTGTGCACCTCTAGGCTGCTGCTTGTGCTGTTGGGGCTCCTGTCCTTTGTCCACTCAGATGGCCCCCTTTATGAGCTGCTTTCCTCTGTTCCCCAGCCATGGGCACCCTGTCCTCGGGGCTCCCGTGGCACGAGACTTACTCTCTCCCGGCCGTTTCCATGGTCTGCCCTGGGTTCCTAGCCTCTGCTGGTGTCTTACCTGCCCTACTAGAGTGAAACACTGCAGGCTGGGCCTGTGGCCCCTCACTACGGAGGCCCTTTCCGCCTTCCCCTGACGGCTAAATCTGTTCCGCTCCTGGCCCTGGGTGGAGTGAAGTCCTGCTCATTTACCCCTGCCTGCTGCTTCCCCCACCACCTGGCCCCTGGTTAGATGCAGCACATTTTATTTTCTGTTGTCTCATTGGTGTTGGTCTTGTCTTCCCAGCAGGGTACTTGATGAACCACTCAGAGCAGGGACTTGACCTACTATGCTTCTAAATTAGTGGCTTGCAAACCTTTCTGATGTGCCACCCTCCACCCCCAACCCTGTTAAACAATCCGACTCAGCACACAGATAAAACTGGGTTTAGAACGGAAGCAAACTGGCCTTACTATGTGCTCTTTATTGTTAGATTTTAAAAAATGCTGGCGTGACCACTTCAGTGGATTTGCTACTAGACTGAAGAGCCCTGCTCTAAATTCCTTCTGAGCAGGCGTTGGAATCCGTTGCCGTTGCTTGAATGGGCGATTTGTACTGATGAGCTCGCAGGGCTGCTGATGAGCACAACAATGAAGGGCATTGTCACTGGGTTAAACCAAGAGACTTCAAAACATGATCCCAGAAGGGTCCCAGGAAGAGAAGAAAATTTGGAAGGATAAGGTGGGCTGAGGCTGGGACTGCCCTGACACTTGCCCGCACACAGAAAGGGCGCATGTGGCGTATGCCATCTCATCGTCATGGGAGTGCTCACGGCTGCTCTCGTTTTATATGAGGAAACACACGCTGAGACAGAAGCAAAGCCAGATGATTTGCCTAAGGTCAGAGCCAGGGCTTACTCAGGCAGTGGTTCTCAACCTTCCGAATGCCGCGACCCTTTCATACAGTTCCTCATGTTGTGGTGACCCCCAACCATAAAATTATTTTTGTTGCTACTTCATAATTGTAACTTTGCTTCTGTTATGAATCATAATGTAAATATCTGATATGCAGGGTGTATTTTCATTGTTCGTGACCCACAGGTTGAGAACCGCTGGTAGAGCCAAGTCCTTTTGCTTCCAAAGCCCTAGCTCTCGCCACATCCCGTGCTGACCCCAACATCGATAACCCACAACTGAAAGTTGTTTTCCAGAAACTTCTTACTTGCCACTGCACCCACCCCCAACCCCAACCCCCACCATACACACAAGGACCGTGGGATCTCCTTGTTGCTGAGGCTGCTTGTCTGGTTTGGAGCAGGAGCTCACTGTTGACCTCCAGGTCGCTGTGGGAGAACTGGGTTTGGAGCAGGACCCGCAGCAACTTCCGGTGCCATTCCTGTTGTGAAGTGCTGCTTCCAGTTCTGGAAAGGCTGTCCCTGGGATTTCCAGTGTGGGCAGGGGCCAGGCCTCCTCTGCTTTTGTTTGCTTTCTCATCATGTAATGCTCTGTGTGATTACAACGTGAGCTTTGCCCTGCATGTGCACTGAGTTCAGTAGTACAGGTGTCCGTCGTAGTTGCAAAGCTTTTTCAGACTGAGTGTGAATGACTACATCACCTGGACCCTGCCTGTGAGTGGCTGCAGGAGTTTTGGAGTGTGGCCGTCGCTGAGAAACGTGGCTGCAGAGCCAGAAGGTTCGGCGGCTGATCCCAGGTCCCCAGCAGGAGTCGTGGCCGCTGCGGGCCTCCACCCCGATGTATGACCTGGGGACCATGGCAGCTCCTCCCTCAGAGGGCTCGCGTGAAGGGGAAGTTGAGCTAGCTCAGCGCCCATAAAGCCCTTGACGAGCTGCTTAACCTCAGCTGCCATTGCTGCTTCTTAGTAATAGAGCTTCAGAGCTCTAACCTGAGAGACCTAGTTGTGTTGGGCATGAGGCAAGGCCTTTAATTCACTTACTTCTCCTCTTCCCGTGTGTGCTGTTCGCAGGGCTCCTTGCTTGGGGTCTGGCCCCAGAGCATCTTTTCTGCTGCATACAGTTGTCAGGTCCGAGGGGAAGAAGGGTCGTGGCACCCAGCAACCAGGGCAGCACTTCTCTGCACCAGGGACTGTCTGTGCTCACGGCCTCAGGAGCCTCCCCTGGTCCTTAGTCCTGCAGGCCCCGCCCCCTGCTGGCTGTGTCCTTGAGGGCAGGTCAGCTACCATATCTGTAAAATGGGCTCACACTTGCCATGGAGCTTGTTACGGACATAAAGTGAGACGACGAGTGACGCACACAAGAGCAAATGGAAACGGGCGTCCAGGTTCTGGCACGTCCCACTTCCGGGCTAACACCTTTGGGCCTGGCGTAGAGTTCACTAGTCCAGGGTCAGCCCATCAGTAGCACCTTGTGGGGCAGTCGTTACTAATCCTTGTTGAAAGGCGACATGCCTCCCACTCATTCTCAACACACAGCTTTGGGTGGGTTTCCCATAAGATCCCAGGTTTTGACTCCCAGACGCCAGGTTGGAAGCTTCCTGAAGCTGGTGCTGTTAGGTTGCAGCAGAGCACCTGGGACACGTAGGTGCTGGGATGTTAGACTTGATGGCCAAGGGCATCCGTTGTCTCAGTTTTTGGTAAGTGGAGGTCATTTTAGTATTTTAGTGGAACCACTTGAAGTCAGGGTAAGAAGTGTAAAGACGTCCAAACTTGTACATCCAGATGTACAGAAACTCTCCCACCCACCTGCTTCGGGGTGCACACCCTCGCGGAGCCTGCGTATTTGGGGGAGATCACTTTCCCTTTGCACTTTTAGGAGTCTCTGTAGGCTTTTCTGGCTGAGAGTAATTGCTTGCCAGATAATTTTGCCAGCAGCACCCCTCTTGGCAGCTGGTGTCAATAAAATTCATTTAGCAGTTAATCACTTTGCACTCATGATACTGCTTCTGTTGTTGAAATAGTTGTTTTAGTCTTAGGCTAAGTACACATTTGGGTGTCCTGTTTTCCCAGCTAGATTGTCCTCTCTTTGGGAGGGTCCCAAGAGCCTTGTCCAGAACAGGCAGCAAGAGAATAGTGTGGGTTTTTGTATTTCTCTTTTTCTTTTTCTTTTTTTTCAGAGGGCTAAGGGTACACACACACACATACACACACACACATACATGCACACAGGTTCAGAAGCTGGACTCTGGCACCAACGTGCTTGGCTCTCCTGAACTCTTCTGGTTGGGTGTGTGGAATGTGGGTCACCGGGTGCAACTGAGCTTTTGTGACCTGGTGGCGTGGGGGCTGCTCTCAGATTTCCAGGGCATGGCACAGTTACTCATGTAGCAGCTCGCAGTGACGGCTTCGTACGATGTTAAAGATTTCGTTTTTTGATGTTTCTGGTTTAAGAAAATGAAAGAGTTATGCAAAAGATTTTAACCTGTTCCTCATTTCAGGAAATATTTAAACAGCTAATAAATATGCATCAAATGCCATGGGGTAGAAGGAAGTGGCTTAGAAATTTAGGGTATGAGTGGAGGCCGGAGGTCAGGTGAGTGCTGAAACTGGCCGTTGGTCTGGCTCTGAGATTCCCAGTGGCCACTGTAATAACCAGTTAAAATTCACAGGAGAAGCAGAGGAGACGAGATGATGCTTGGGGCCCTCGGGATGGGGCAGCAGGGTGAGGAGGTCCTGGTGACTTTCTCACCAACATGGGCATCCACTGTCCTAGTGTCACTCGGCAGCACAGGAGCTGCAGAGCTGCAGGCCCCCTGCCATGGCAGGCTCTCCTCCTCAGCAAGAACACTTTCAGCACGTCACCCTCAGAGTCAGCCTAAAGGACAGCAGACCAGCACACGCTCTTGCTTCCCAGGGCGTCGTCATGTCAGAGCTGGCAGGCCCTCGGTAACCCTGGTTTCTTTGTCCCAGGAATATGAAGACCAGGCTGGACGAGCTAGCAGGCCACCCTCCCCAAAGCAGAATGTGAGGAAGAATCTGGACTTCGAGCCGCTTTCCACCACCGCACTCATCCTGGAGGACAGACCAGCGTGAGTCCCAAGAAGAGCTTGGGTGTTGGCTTTAGTGGATAAGGACACCTCGCTGATCAGGCACCTTTCCATCAGAAGGGAACTAGGGACACAGAGAGAAGAGTGAGCCACAGCACTCGTTAAAAATGCCCAGTTTTCCCTGACCGGCGTGGCTCAGTGGTTAGAATGTCGGACTGTGCACCGAAGGGTGTCATGGGTTCAGTTCCTGGTCAAGGGCACATACCAGGGTTGCAGGTTCCATCCCCGGCCATGTAGAGCATGTGTGGGAGGCAACCAATTGATGTGTGTCTCTCATATTGATGTTTCTCTCTCTCTCTCTCTTTCCCTCTCCCCTGTCTTCCTCCCTCCCCCCTCCTTAACCTCCCTTCCATTCTTTCTAAAAAAAAAAAAGGGCAATGGAAAAATATCCTCAGGTGAGGATGAGCAACAAGAAAAAATGCCGAGATCCTCTTCATTTCCTATATTAATTAACGTGCGTCCTAGGGATAGTAAGGGACTGATTTGGAAAGCTGTCCTTTAACATAGAAGTGTTGCCTACGATTTTCCATTCAGGTGGTGTTTCATTTAACTTAGCATTTTACAAATACGTAAGTAGCTATTGTAAACTGTAGACTGGCTGTAACCGCAAGAGAACACCAGCAGGGTCCTGGAAGTGGGTGTTTGGAGGCAGCCGGTCCTGCGGAGCGTTGCGGGGACCAGTGCTGGGTCGTTCAGGACCCGCGGGAGCCGCTGGCCCCAGCACCCTCCTCTGGTGGCCATCTGTTTGAGGACTGTCCATTTCTGAAGGAGAACATGCATTTTATTTTTTCAAACAGAATTCGTAGCCGCTCACCACATTCAGATGGTCAGAGCTGTGGTGTACATTTGTATACACGCCGATGAGCTGCATAGCCAGTGTGAAACTAGCACACTTACAAACCGGCCAGGAAATGTGTTCACACATTAGCACACTATATGTTGTTAGGGTCCCTCCTTCACGGACAAGTGTCGACAGTTATTAGTGTATTGTGGTCAGATCAAAGTTTCTTTGGAACTAAGGTGAAAAACACCAAAAGATTAAGTGTATATCTCTTGGAATGATGGGTAATTGTTACTAGTACCTTCTTCTTTCTACTGATCTTTATACTTCAGATTTTTTTACCATGAGCTTATTTTACTTTTGTAAGAAATATTTTTAGTTTATAAATGAGCTGTGTCCTTGTCATCTTAATGTGTTTAGTTTTGTTTTTTGAGCTTTTCTTTTTTATTTACTTTTTACTAGTAATGCTTCAAGTTTTGTTTCTCAAAGAATTTTATTTGATACTAGAGCAGGGGTGGGCAAACTTTTTGACTCGAGGGCCACAATGGATTCTTAAACTGGACCGGAGGGCTGGAACAAAAGCATGGATGGAGTGTTTGTGTGAACTAATATAAATTCAAAGTAAACATCATTACATAAAAGGGTACGGTCTTTTTTTTTTTAGTTTTATTCATTTCAAACGGGCCGTAGTTTGCCCACGGCTGTACTAGAGGCCCGATGCACAAAATTCGTGCAAGGGGCTTGGCCCTCATGGCCCGGGCTGCCTTGCATCCCCGCAGCCCTACCCACTGGTTTTTCCAGAAGGTCATTCTGGAAGGTTGTTCTGCTGTCTGGTCTGATTAGCGTATTAGCTCTTTATTATATAGGATTCATAATGGTGGAAAATCATTTATTTTCTATCAAGAAATCTCCCGGCGAAGCCAGCTGAAGAAGCTCAGAAGCACAGGCAGCAGTATGAAGAAATGGTGGTCCAGGCCAAAAAGCGAGGTGAGGGTCCACGTGTTCGGGTGCGTAAGGCCGCACAGGACTCTGTGTCTGTCTGGATATTTCCTTCTTCCTGTCTGGGGCCCTTGAACCTGAACTGTGGTGAAAGCTTTAGTATTTTGACATTTATAATTTTCCACAAAAGTGTGTGCTTCTATCATGTCATTCCTGCTAGCTTTACTCAAGGTCTTAGCACTTTGACACCAGGCGAGAGACTATCTAGGGCAGTGATGGCGAACCTATGACACGCGTGTCAAAGGTGACACACGAACTCAATTTTTTGGTTGATTTTTCTTTGTTAAATGGCATTTAAGTATATAAAATAAATATCAAAAATATAAATCTTTGTTTTACTATGGTTGTAAATATCAAAAAATTTCTATATGTGACACGGCACCAGAGTTAAGTTAGGGTTTTTCAAAATGCTGACACGCCGAGCTCAAAAGGTTCGCCATCACTGGTCTAGGGTAAGAGTATGGATTGCGGAAAGCCTCAGCCAGCAGTGATGGGCAAAGCTCTCTCTCTCTCTCTCTGGTCTCAGTTTCCTTTTTTTATTTTATTTTAAATATATTTTTATTGATTTCAGAGAGGAAGGAAGTGGGAGAGAGAAAGAGAAATATCAATGATGAGAGAGAATCATCGATAGGCTGCCTCCTGCACACCCCCCAGTGTGGATCGAGCCCACAACCCGGACTTGTGCCCTAATCGGGAATTGAACCGTGACCTCCTGGTTCATAGGTTGACGCTCAACCACGGAGCCATGCTGGCCGGGCGAGTTTCCTTTTTTTACAAGATGGGATAGGATTTGGTAAAATGCCTTGCAACATCCTATGACAAGGATGTTTTAAAAAAAAATGTGATTAACATAATGTGGTCTATACATACAACGGCATATTACTCAGCCTTAAAAAGTAAGGAAGTTCTGGAACATGCCTCAGCATGGGTGAGCCTTGAGGATTTATGCTTAGTCAAGAAGACAAACACTGATCCCACCTCTATGGGATCCTTAGAGTAGGCAGAATCCTAGAGAAGGAAGAATGGTGATTGCCAGGGGCTGGGCGGGTGCGGGGGAATGCAGAGGGGTTAGAGTTTAATTGGTGCCGAGTTTCAGTTTGGGAAGCTGAGAACATTCTGGAGACGATGTTGGTGATGGTTGGGTAATGATGTGAATGTGCTTAATGCCACTAATTGTATACTTAAAATCGTTAACAGTAAATTTTATGTTTTTGTATTTTACCACAATAAAAACACACAAAAGTATATGTAAATTAACGCACAGTGTTTCCCAGAGCTGCTATTGCACATGAAAGGTTCTGCTCGGGCTGCGAGACGGGAGGCTCCAAGTTGTGCTGGGAGGGGCCTGGCGGGAGCTCACGAGGCGCCTCTGGGGTCTGCAGTGCTCTGTCCTTTGATTGCGGGAAGCTTCCTGAGTTGGCCTATTTTATGATAATTGATCCCGCTTTATTGGTGTGCTTTCCTGTATGTGTGTTACACCTGAAAAGCTTACTAAAAGATGGTAACACCGCGCCTTCTGAGCTGCCCATGGTGGGAAGGGGGTGGGTCTCATGGCCCTGTCAGTGCCACTCTGGGGTCTTTGCTGCGTGACTGAGAAAAGTCACCCACTTGAAGTGGTGGCTGCCAGTTAATGGAGCTTTTCCTCTTCTCCGTTGCGATTCCCAGAGCTGAAGGAAGCCCAGCGGAGAAAGAAGCAGCTGGAAGAAAGATGCCGGCAGGAAGAAAGCATCGGGAATGCTGTCCTGACTTGGAATAATGAGATTTTGCCTAACTGGGAAACCATGTAAGCTGGGACAGGGCGCAGCGCGCTTTGTCATTTCTGTCTGGGATCCAGGGAGCGGCCGTACTAATGTCGGTCAGAGTCCTGCCTTTGGTGGAAGGACGTAGGGTCAGTTGTGCAGCTTCTCCCTTCCCCGCCGAGGCTTAGGCCTGTCATCCCTCATCTGGATCCTGTGACAGTTCCCCCGTCCTCCTTCCAGAGGGATCAGCAGCCAGAGGGACCTGTAAAGCCCATGGCTGTGTCATTCCCCCACTTCAGATTTCAGTGACTCGGAACTCCCTTTCTCGGGAGCCGCACCTTTGATCTGTCCTGCACGTGGATGGAGCGCTCTCATCAGGGAGCCTCAGGGCTTTGCCTGCTCTGTTCCCTCTGCCTGGAGTGCTCTTGCCCTGTGATCCCTCCCACTCTCTGTTGTATGAAGCTCAGTCTTCCGTGGGGAAGCCCTTCCTGGCCAGGGGCTGGAGGAGACGCCCTTGGGTGCACTGCTGTCGTCCTCTGTCTGAGGGTAGGGACTGACTCTTCTCTGATGACAGCCCCCAGGGCAGTCTGGCAGCTGCTGTCATCTCTCCGTCCGTGGGACAGCTGGGGACAGTTCTTCCTGTGGTTCAGGGTGGGGAGGGCCGTGTGCGGCCCTTTGTGGGCCTCCCCTCATCACTAGGAGTTGCCAGGAAGCTTGGGTGCCAGTTTCTCGTCTCTGGTCGCTTTCAGCCTGCACCCGATGTCGGGATGTGGGGGACTCAGTCCTGGCACTTCCCCGAGTGTCACTCCGTCTCATTAGGGGGTCAGACAGCCCCTTTGCGGGTGTCCCCTAGGAAAACAAGCATTTCCCAAGCATTTCTAGGCTGTGCCTTTATGAGGCTGGACACAGTCAGGAAACTTTTTTCTCAAATGGGACCCAGCGACAAGAGTGAGGTCCTCAGGACCTGGGGCTGTCTCCCTCTGTGGCTGCAGGACCCACCCTGGTCCATCCCGCACTGACGGGGTGTGATGAGGTCCAGAGGCCTGCGCTCGGCACTGCCTGGGACGCACCAGCGAGGGACCAGGCACGGGGCCGGGTGTCACTGTATCGTCCCGCTCCTCTCCATGGCCGCCCTTCACGGAGGCTTTCTGCATTTGGTGCTGGAGAGGAGTCATTTGCTCGGGGTTGCACAGGGAAGCATGGAGTTGGGATGCAGACCTGTTCTGCAGCCTTGGCCTGTGCTCTCCCACTGGGCTGTGTTGAGGAGCACCAGGGGAGTCTTTGCACTTTGTCCCACTATTCGGGCTGTGAGCTACTGTGAGCAGAGGGCCTCAGTGCCTGAGCAGTGGAGAGCGTGCTGAGGTAGCAGAGTGCTCTGCCATTAGAGCTTGGCAGCTGTGCCCTGCGTGACACCTGCACTGCACTTGCAGCTCCGCAGCAGTCCTGTCCCCCCTCCCTCCCCCCCGCTCAGCTATCAGCTGTTCCTGGTTGCTGTGCCTTCTGCTCAGAAAGTCCTTCCCACCCTTCGTCTGCTTAAACTGCTACGGGTTACTGAGGGTTCAGCTCAGGATAGTGCCGACCCTCTGGTTTGTGCTGCCACTCCCTCCCGTGCAGGGCCCTGGGCACACCTGCCACAGTATTGCCCAGTGGAGAGCGCACTGATCTGGTCTCTGTGGACACCGGACCTAAGTCCCCTGAGGGCAGCGCTGCGACATCCCTGTGTATCCCCTGTCCTGTGGTTGGGGGAGGCACCCAGGTGGCAGGTGTTTCTTCACGGAGAACAGCTGCATAAACTGGTTTTCCTCTCCGTCCAGGTGGTGCTCTAGAAAAGTCCGGGACCTGTGGTGGCAGGGGATCCCTCCCAGTGTGAGAGGCAAAGTTTGGAGCTTAGCCATTGGCAACGAGTTAAACATCACCCACGGTGAGTGCTTGCGCTTGAAGGCTCGAGGAATTGCCCCCTCACCCCCACCCCTCCGGCCAGGTCCTGTGGCTTCTCCTGTCCCTCTGCCCTGCTGTCAGGAGAAAGGACACCATTGCGGGAAGCTGTGAGAGGCCAGGTGCCTGTCCTCCAGGAGCTTCAGCCACCTGTAGGGAGCCAGCCTGCTCGCGGCGTGCGGTGGGGGCACGTGGTTGCGCTCTGGGGTGCAGGTTGTCTTTGGGCGCTGCTGTTTTTTGTGGCATTTTTTCCCCAGGCAGCTGATATGGAAGCACCTCTAGAGGGACAGTACACTGCACCCAACTGGGTGCTTGAGGTTCTAGTAGCTTCAGAGTAGAGGGGGGTGAGATCTGGACTCGCCTTTCCTAGGGCTGTCTGTCTGTCTGGCCATGTGCCTGGATTCAGTGTGCGTGTACCTCTCCTCCACCTGCGCTCCCCCCACTCTGTGCCCAGCACAGGTGAGATAGGCCAGGGGCTCGAAGACTCACAGTTAAGCGCCTAATAACTGGTAGTTGTTCCTTTTTCCTTTTTCCTCCCTGTCTCCTCATCTCCTTTATGTTATATGTACCCAGTAAATGCCCGGAGTTGCTGGTAGCGATGGAAGGCCTTTGCGTTTAGGGCAGATTGATTTGTGTCTGCTCTGTGCACCTGGGGTTCCTGTAACTATTGTTCTTACCTTGGGAGACGTCATCCGTACACGATTGCAGCCTGAGTAATGCCAGCTGGGGGGGAGGGGGTGTCACTGGCGTTTGTTGGAGGTGACCTCCTCAAGCTCCATTTTTGGCTAATCCATTCCTGCCACAGGTTGACCATCTTACGCCAAAGAGCTCACAGATGGTACAAGTGATGGACTCACAAACCAGACAGCCGTGCCTGGCGGCCGTACATAGAAGTAAACACCCGCACTGTGGTGTGTGCGGGTCTATCTCTGTGAATGGTGGCTGGGTCTTTAGACAACAGAAGGACCTTCCGTATGTAGTTGAACTTGAGGCAGTGGTGTGCCCCTGGCGTTCTGAGGAGCGTGTGCGTGTGCCCATGCTCAGCCAAGGCCTCTCTTCCAGAGCTCTTCCACATCTGCCTCGCCCGAGCCAAGGAGAGGTGGCGGTGCTTCAGCGCGGGCGGCCCCGACGTGGACAGTGAAGGTACGTGGGGCGCGGGCTGGCAGCGGCTCAGTCAGCGGGGCACCGCTCCACCCAACACAGGTCGCTTCTCTGAGGCGGTGCGTGGTGCGAGCTTACAAGCAGCTGCCTGGAAAAGGGCGGTTTGTTTTTAAATCCTCACCCAAGGATACGTTTTCCTTGATTTTGAGAGAGAGAGAGAAAGAGAGAGAAAGAGATACATTGATTGGTTGCTTCCCATACGCACCCTGACGGGGGATTGAACCTGAAACTTTTTGGTGTATGGATGATGGATGCTCCAACCAACCGAGCCACAGGGCCAAGGGCTGGAAAAGGGATTTTTCAGGGCAAACAAGTTAAAGAAGAAATTTTCATAAGAAAGAAAACACTCCAGGTCTGGAGAAGTGTTTGTGTCTGGACACGCTGGAGGGCCGGCGGTAACCACTGTGCTTCCCTCGTTCCCATTCATGAGGCTGCAGCAGCCTGGAACCCGGGTCACTTGAGCGTCGGCGTCCAGGGCAGCATCTGAGCTGCTTGAAGACGGAGCACTGCGTGTTTGCTGGGTTACACTTAGAATCTCCCCCACACAGAATGACACTGCTGTCTGTTCAGTGGCATCTTCCTTACTGACTTTTCTACCATCTGGGTGATATTAAAATAAAAGAAACAGAAACCAGGTTATTCCTGAATATTTGTTAGAAATGGCGCACGAGTGTCGCGCTGCCACACCCCCGTGTATTCTGCGTTATACCAGGGCCGTGCTAGGTCAGACCGCGATTCCCAGTGCTCTCCGTGCCTGGGGTGCGTTTGTTCTCAGCTTCCCCTGATTGCTCCTGGAAGGTGGTGTCACATGAGGCTTCCCATGACAGTCTCGTGTTAGCCGGTGCTGTTGATGTTTGCTCTCCGCCCTGGTGGCCGAGCTGTCACCAGGTTCGGGACGTCTGCAGCATGTTCCCTGGTCACTCCTGTAAGACCCAGAGCCTCTGAGGTCCCGCACGCTGCCTGAGAGCGGTCATGACTCTTGGTCTTTCGGTAGATGCCGGGTTCTCAACAGCCAACAGAGAAGCCAGTCTGGAGCTGATTAAACTGGACATTTCTAGAACATTCCCTAACCTCTGCATTTTCCAGCAGGTAGGTGGTGGTGATTTGTTGCTTTCAAGCATGTTAGTCTGAAATTCACAGATGCTGATCTGCATACATTGTAATCAGATTGAAAAGTACTTGGGTTTTTGGGTGGAGGGGTGGCCAGAGAGGGACAGCAGGGGGTGGGTGGGCCTCATGTTAATTCAGGCGTCTCTCCCGACCCGTCCACCTCTGGCCAGTCGCCTCACAGCCTCCAGACTAACCCTGCCGTGCCCAGTCTGACTGTCATGCCCATGCCTCTAGCACCAGACCTCACAGCACCAGGACACCAGGAAAGTGAAGCGCTTCAATTAGAACAAGTCAGTTAAGGGACCGGCCCCCTAGAATTCGGCAGGAGGTGTGGACATTTGACACTTGGGCTCTGCAAAAATGTGGGTGTCCCAGGCACTGTGACAGTGCGGAGGAGCGAAGGTCACTTCCCTGGCAGTGCAGCGTGGGGAGGGTCAGGGATGAGGGTCAGATTGGTGTCCCTGGGGAGCGGCTCTAGGGCTGTGCTGGGCGAGGTGTGAATGACAGCCCGCCAGAGAGTGGAGAGACACTTGGCAGAAGGTCTGGAATGGAAGCATCGGACACTGACGGGCCAGGGGCCCCTTCGGGAGAGAGAACCTCGCTAGAGGGACAGCCAGAGGCGTGCAGTTCAGTGCTGTGGGCCCTCCTTACTGCCTGGCTGCTCTGACTGTCCCTGCTCTGGAGGAGAGGGGGAGGGCAGCGCTGCGGCTGAAGGGCGAGCAGGCACCTGGACCCGGTCCTGAGGGGCTGACGCCTGGGCAGCTGAGGTCCGCCTTTCCCACGCCCGGGCCCAGATGTGCTCCGTGGAGCATCAAGCTTCATAGACTTTTGGGGTCACGGGGGATTATCTTGGTGCAGAAAGAGGAGTAGCAGCAGCTTAGGAGTCTCTTTCGGGTGGGATTGGGGCCAGATGGCTTTTCTCCTTCCCTCCGGGTTCCAGTGGGTGTGTCTCTCTCTGCCTGTGGTTCCCAAAGTTCTAGGTTTCATACACAGGCAATCTGAAAGCAACAAAGGGTGGGTGGAGAGCGGGGCCACAGCAAGGCGTCCAGAACTAGTTAGGGCGTTTAAAATAGGGACCTGTCAGCGACTGCACCACCTTGTCACCAAAGAGGGGACATTAGTGCCCTTGAAAAGGACATAATCACGCTGGTGGGAATCTGTTGAGTTGAAAACACTCAGCTTTAAGAAGAGTTCAGTGCAGTGCTCTTGTGCTCCTCATTGGCCTTGGACCAGAGGGGACCTGCTGCCGATGATGTCGCCTCAGGTGGGCCCCTCCCTGTCCCCCTTCTTCCGCCCTCTCGTCCTGGGTGGCGTCTTTTTTCCTCCCATTGCTGTGTTCTCCTCTTTGCCCCTCTGTGTTCTGGAAGTGTCTCTTCTTTTTATGCCAGAATGTGATGGTTTGGGCCATGGTGTTCATTTGTAAGCTATGGTAGTCACCTGTGCATGACTTCCTAGTCATGCACCATGTACGCTTTTTTTTAAATCTTCATCTGAGTATATATATTTTTTCCATTGAAAGAGAGTAGAAGGGAGGGGGAGAGAGACAGAGAGAAACATCAATGTGAGAGAGACACATAGATTGGTTGCCTCCTGCGCGCACCTTGACCGGGGCTGGGAGCTAATCTGGGACCCTTGGGTGCATAGCCCGATGCTCTGACCTCTGAGCCACACTGGCCAGGACCCATGTCCACTTTCCATTCCTCATGTTAACTAGGCACGTGGAAGGTGGGGACAGTAAGTGTGTGATGTGGACTGAGCCAGCCCCTTCACAGCTCAGACATGGGACAGCAGTGAGGCCCCTGCTTTCTTCTGTGCTCAACAGAAGATAAACTGCAACACCTAAATGTTGAGAAGGAGTTACAGGAACGCATGGAGAGCTGGGAGGATGTTTGGGTTAAAATGGAGGCTGTTAGGACTTAAGATGGAGAGTGTGTTTTCTAAACCTACCATGTCAGAAAGCCCAGAAGAAACAAAGGCTATGATGGGCGGGAGGGGTCAGGATGAGCGGCACGGCTGGGAGCAGTCGGGACAACGGTCACTGCCCTGCCTGGTTGAACCCTGGCACCTGGTGGCCCTCGAGCTCGGAAGGGGATGTGATTATACAGCAGGAGCTAAGTGAGGGGTATTTTCCTGGCTCAGGCCTGACCCACCAGCTTTCTCAGAGCAGCTTGGTAAATGGATTGGCTGCAGACTCGCTTCTAACTGGGTTGGTAGCTCATTTGTGCAGTTACGTAATACACGCAGAGCTGCTGGCCTCTGCTTGGCCTAGACTCCCTGCACTCCGGGGGCGGGGCAGGGGCGGGGGTGGCGCCGAGGCCGTCCTGGGCACTAACCAGACTGCATGTGTCCTTTGGTGTGTTGATCCTTTCAGGGCGGCCCCTATCATGACATGTTGCACAGTGTGCTGGGCGCTTATACTTGTTACCGACCGGATGTGGGCTATGTAAGTGAACTTTTCAATATTTTATCGTGTCTTACATTTTCAAAAGAAAGTCGGCATATTGCCAGGACATCTTCGCTGCGGAGGGCAAGGCGAATGTCCTTGTTTCTGTGGGGCAGGAGAAGTCTCACAGCAGCGAGCTGCCTGCTTCTCCCAGCAGTGGTTCTCAACCTTCCTAATGCCACGACCCTTTAATACAGTTCCTCATGTTGTGGTGACCCCCAACCATAAAGTTATTTTCGTTGCTACTTCATAACTGTCATTTTGCTACTGTTATGAGTCGTAATGTAAATATCTGATATGCTATATGTGTTTTCGGATGGTTGCGACCCACAGGTTGAGAACCGCTGTAAGGGACCCGGCAGACACAGCTGCCTGTGGCTTCCTCACATTGTCATTCGATTTGATTTTCGCTTTTCGCATGTGATTTTCTCAGCATTAAATGAAGAAAAGCCTTTAGCAGTAACCATTTTAAAACTGTGCTGCTGTGTATGCGCTAAGCCGATGCCTGTGCATGGTGCCAGGTGTAGCACGTTACGATAGACCAGTGATGGCGAACCTATGACACGCGTGTCAGAGGTGACACGCGAACTCATTTTTTTTTTGGTTGATTTTTGTTTGTTAAATGGCATTTAAATATATAAAATAAATATCAAAAATATAAGTCTTTGTTTTACTATGGTTGCAAATATCAAAAAATTTCTATATGTGACACGGCACCAGAGTTAAGTTAGGGTTTTTCAAAATGCTGACACGCCGAGCTCAAAAGGTTCACCATCACTGCGAAAGACACACATCTCAGAGTCCCAGGTGGCGGATGCGGAGGGAGGGGCAGGTGTGGTGTTTCACGGGGCGTGGGGCAGGGTGAGAGAGCAGGCAGGCCGCTGATGTGGCCACGCAGGGCTTCCTGGCGAGAGCAGGTCCAATCCAGGCTGTTGCTCAGCTTTGGGGGAGGTTGTGGGTGGGTGGCTTCCAGCACGAGGGCATCTGGGCTCCTCGTCATGAAATGAGAGAGCTGTCTGGCCGTGCAGGCCATGGCGCGTTTAACCCCCTCCTTCCCACAGGTGCAGGGCATGTCCTTCATCGCCGCAGTGCTGATCCTGAACTTAGATACTGCAGATGCCTTCATTGCGTTTTCTAATCTTTTGAATAAACCCTGTCAAATGGCGTTTTTCCGAGTGGACCACGGCCTTGTGAGTATCCCTGTGTGCCTGGCGCGGTGTCTTCACCCAGCAAGAACCGCCCAGTCAGCCGTCTTTTCAGTGGAAAAGAACCCCCCCCCCCCCCCCAAAGAGGGAGTTAGAGAAAGCACTGTAGAAGTGGGAGGTATTTGGGGCTTGTGTTGGATTTTAAAAACACGTAGCTAATAGCCATATGTATGACTTTCTGAAGGCAGCTTTTCAGAAAGCGTTTCTGAAAATACATTCTCCACACCAGGGAGGGCAGCTCGTGCACAAACATGCCTGCTTTGTGTGGCACAGTCTCCTTGTGTGGTCTGCGCATGGATGTGGCGGAGCTGAGCCATCGTGCTGCTCCGTGACGTCGGGGCGCGCTCCGTGCAGTGCACTCACACACAGACAGGAGAGCATGTAAGGGCAGCTCCTGTGTGGACGGAGGCAGCAGTGCGTTCAGTGCGTGGCTGGGCACTGGGCAGTGTAGGTTTCATTTACTGAGCTGTATCCGTGCCACACATTATGCACACAGATGGCTGCGTGGCCCGATGGGGCGGGGAGGCTCCCGTTCAGGGCACACAGCTCGTGAGGGAGGAGCCCAGGCCCCCGTCCTGCCTCCTCAGCCCTGTTCTTTCTGAGGCCAGAGGATGGCGCCCCCTGACAGACCCATCAGCTTTTACGTTAGTATTGCATTGACTTGCTGAGAGCTGGCTGAGAGTTCTCACCAGTACTGCTAGACCAGCTGATCTGAGCGTTTAGGTCAGCCAGGGATGCTCCCTCTTTAATATCCTAAAGCCTCCTGAGTATTTCTTGTTCAGGCAGTACATACATTAAACAAAAAGTATTTTAAAACTGTTGCTAAGTGGGTGGCTGTTAGGGGAAGTATAAATTGGCAGAATTCTTCTGGAAGAAACTTGGTATTAAGTATCAATAGCGGTAAATGGTGTTGGTATGTAATTCTGCTTGTAGGAATCTAAGAAAGTCCAACCGGGGACCAAGCCTTAACAAAGATGGTTATCACACAAGTATTTATAATTATTTATAATAACAAAGATGGCGTCACACAAGTATTTATAATTAACAATAATTTAAAATTACATTTCGGTGTGAAAGTTGAAGAACTTTAAAAATGGGGTTTAGGGGAATACAGACGGGTTCGTTGCAGTCTGGTGCCAGATCCAGTGCAGTAGCAGTGTTTGCACAGAATCGTGCTCTAAAGAAGTATTTAAGATGAAGTGACACTTTTTTCAAAAGTATATGGAGTGGAACATCTGCCTTAATGGCTCCCATATGTAACTGTAACAGGACCACAGTTCATAGAGATGATGGAGGATCCTTATTGTTTCTGCTCTTAGGTTTCCTCCAGCGGCACTTACGGTCCTGCCAGGAAGAACTTTTCCTATAGAATAAAATGATTTACATCTAAATAGCTCCTATTTTTGAAGACCCCAGTTTTCTCTTTGGCAACATATGATACAAACTGTACTGAAGAATTTTAGCCTAATTACTAAGGAAGAACCAGAGAATCATAATGCTGACTGGACCTTCATTTACAGCAGGGCCTCTCAGTAGCAGCGCTGTTGACCTTGGGGCTGGACGCTGTGGTGGGGCTGTCCTGGCATTGAATGGCTTCTCTGGCCTCTACCCGCTGAGTGCCAGCAGCACCTCCCCTCGCTGTAACAACCAAAAATGTCCTCAGACATAGCCAGATGTCCCCTGGGAGGAGAGTGCCCCATTGGGAACTCTGGTTTACAGAACAACCATTCATTAAGGGGAGCAGGCAGCACCGAGAGCACCCTGCCCACATGCCTCCCCGTAGTACACGGAGCAGCCCGCCCGCCTCTCTGCTGGTGCCCTCCCCGTCCAGCAGCAGCTGCAGTTCCACAGGCTCCCTGCGCATTGCATCCCACAGGCCCTGCAGGCAGTCGAAAGCCTGTGCTGGTGAAGTGCCGGCTGTGCCCGCCGCTCCTCCCCGCGTGTTTCTTCCCTCACTGCTTGCCGGAGCCGGAGCGGTGCTGCCTGGGCCTGGCGAGGCTGGGGGATGGGAGCGCAGCGTGCATGTGTCAGATTATTCAGCCACGAATTCCTTCCCGGTTCTAGAGGAGTGAGCCCTAAAGGCTCTGCCTTGGCAGAGGGACAGACACGGGTCAGGTCCCGGCCCCACACGCATGTGACCTTACTGGCAGGCTGCGCACCTTCTCCGGTGTCAGTTTCCTCTCTGCACTTGGAGGAATAATAGGGTGTAGCTCGTGGTGTTACTGTGAGGATGCGCCGAGTGCTCACAGGCCAACTCGAGATATCTCGGTTCAGTTCCCGACACCACAGGAAGCGGCATCTCAGCAAGCTGCCTGGGTTTCTGCTTTCCCGGTGCACACACAGTTGTTCACGCTGCGCTGCAGCCGGTTCCGGGTGCAGGAGACTGTGTCTGAGACAGTGGGCGCGCCTTGTTAAAGGGCACGTTACTGCGGAAAGTTCTCACCAGCATCGGAGCCCGTGGGGTAGGCTTGCTGGACACGGGACGCCGCAGGGCCTGTGGCGCAGTGAGACGGGCGCGGTGAGGCGAGGTGCGCTGCTAGAACGGCCTGTGTGCACCTCGCCTTCACCCGTCAGAACGTGTCACTGGCGATTACACAAGGAGGTGACTGTTGGATTCCAATGGTGTAAGCATGTTGGCTTGTTTTGTAGGTTGGAAACGTGTGCTGATAATTAGTTTACTGGTGTATTTCACATTATCTCCCCAGATGTTGACTTATTTTGCTGCATTTGAGGTATTCTTTGAAGAAAATTTGCCGAAATTATTTACTCATTTCAAGAAAAACAGCTTAACTCCAGACATCTACCTAATCGATTGGTAAGTCCGCATTTTTGTTTTCTCACCTCCTGCCCCATGTTCCACTGTCCTCACGGCCAACTCCTTTCAGGACCCAGCTGCCCACGCGCTGCCTCTGTTTTCCCAGCTCCAGCCCCCAGTCCTCTGCTGGCACCATTCGCTCTTTCTTGTTACTCTTATGTTCTGTGACCCTACCTGGTCCCTCTGAACTCCTTCAGGGGAGAAGTGGTGTTTTGGACCTGTTTGCTTTCAAAGCGCCATTTACCCATTAGTAACACGTTAAGCGACCTGTCAGTCACCGGTGACTGACATTATACTTTCCGTCCGGAAGACAAAACAGTGCCACTGAGCACCAGGTCTGGCTATGCCAGGCTCTGCTGGGACCTGGACGGTGGTGGTGTGCAGGACACGGAGCTTGCCTGCAGAGCCTTTCCTAGAGGAAGACATGCCCGTGGATGCTGTGCTGCACATGAAGTGTGTCTCTGAAGCAGGCGGAGGACAGCGACCCTGGACCCAGCTTAAGGGTCAGAGTGCACAGGGGCAGCAAACATGAGCCCCAGCCACGGCCTGATAGGAACATGTGGTGGTGCAGAACTAGCAGGGCTCCAGCAGGTGGCCTGGCGACGCTGGGCCTGAGGGAAGGGTGGAGGGTGGCAGGTGAGAGGTCAGGTCCAGTGTGTGCTGGATGCCACGCTGAGGCGCTTGGGCAGCATTGCAGGGGCAAGGGGGTGTGGAAGGCTTTTGCGTGGGCGAAGATGAAGGTGGGTTATCCCCAGAAGTGAGTGTTAGGTTACGTGGGAGACAGGGAAGCCTGTAGGCAGAGGCAGGTTAAGGGAGAAAGACCAGGGTTTGAGCCGAGGCTGCAAAGTGGGTGGAGAGGGGAAAGCGGTGGTGCCCGAGAGATTTGTGGGAATGCAAGAGATGGCCAGGCACGGTCGCCTGCTCTCCCGGCCCAGCTGGTGAGGGCTTGCAGTGCCCCCAGCTGAGATCAGAAGCACCGAGAGCCAGGTTTGCTTCACAGATGAGAAATTGGAGGCTCAGCGCCCCTGGGTCCTGCTGCATTTTCTGTGAGGAAAATTCACTGCAGGGTCTGTCCAGATTCTCTTGACTTCGGGCCACCCCGCTGCTGCCAGCTGCTCTGACCAGGCCTGGTTTCAGTGGCCGCCGGGACCTGCGTCCCGGACACGCGCCTCCCCGCACAGTGGATGGCCCTCCTCTGGACAGACCTCCACCGGTTCCCTGTCCTGTAGAGTAAAGCCTGGCCGCCCCCCTGCCCCAGCCCAGCCTCGGCTTCTCCGCGTGTTCTCCCCTTGGCTGCTTCCGGCTTCTGCCTGGGGCTTCCTGGCTCTTCCTGGGATTTGCCAGGTCTGCTCCTGCCTCAGAGCTTGGGAACCTGGGTGCTTTCCAACCCTTCTCTTGGCTCCTGGCTTCCTCATCAGGGCTTTATGCAAATGTCACTTGTCAGTGATGCGTTCTTCCCTGACCATCCTGTTAACAGGTGTGTATATGTGCACGCTCTCACACACATACACATCAGACTGGCCCTCCCTGCCTCCCCCTGCTCGCAGTTAAATCCACACATCCTCCCCGCCGGGGACAGGGAATGGTGTTTGTTCGATGCTACAGTGTATCCTCATCACCAAAGGACAGTGACTAGCAGAAGCAGTCTTCAGCCAGCCTGGCGACAGGCTGGCCTGCCTCCACAGGAGGGCTCAGAGCTCAGGCGCTGGCTCACGGAGAACGGTACCGCCTGGGTGAGGCCTGAGCACAGGCGCAGGCTCTGACCACAGCTTTCTTGATTGTTTGCATGTTGGCTTCATTCTGTAAAGTTCAGAATATCTAAGTCGTTAATGGAGGCCACACGCATCTGAACTCAAGAATGTTCTGTTGAAGAAATATCTGTTGTCACTCTCCCTCTTATCGCTACTCTATTTTCTGATCACTTCTCACTCAAGACTCTGCTTTTAAGATGTGAGGGCTTGATCTCTGTGAGTGAACGGGCAGGAAGAGGTAGGACTGTGGATTGGGTCCGTTCTGTTTCATTTTCTGAAAAACTATCACGTCCTCCAGGTGGAATTGAGAATGCTCTCCAGCTAGAGACTGGAGACAGGGCACCGGGACCTCTCAGCGGCCTTTGGTGCACAGGCTGCCGCCCGGCCACCAGCCGCTCTGGCCAGGGCGTGGCGATCACAGTTCTTTAAGGGAAGACATACTCGTATTTCATTTCTTCATCTGATGGTTTGCATTGTTAAGATCAGAATTTGTAATCTGCAAATTTATTTGGAAAAATTTCCTTTGTTCCTTTACTGACCCCTACTGGGAGGAAAGGGTATAGTCCTCTTCACATGCACGTGGACACGGAGTGGTGCATTTCTGTTTGCTGTTCTCAGCCCCTCACCAGACTCTATGCTCTCTCTGCCTTAGTAACCTCATGTCCAGCGCCTGCCAGCAGCGTAGCTCATAGTGCTGGGTAAATATTTGCTGCATGTGGAAGTAACAGTAGCAGTGATGAGGAATTGTGCTTGTTCGAGATTCCGTGTGAAAGCCTTTTCACATTGGCCTTCGGAATGAGCGCAGGCCTTGTGCCCCGCACCTGGCCCCATGTTTGTATCTAAGATGACAGTCAGAATGGAGTGGAGCACAGCTGATTCAGGGTTCCTTGTCTGCCAGCCCCCCTGAAGCGCTCCACTCTCTGCAGGATCTTTACCTTGTACAGTAAGTCTCTGCCCCTCGACCTGGCCTGCCGCATCTGGGACGTGTTCTGCCGAGATGGGGAGGAGTTCCTGTTCCGCACGGCCCTGGGCATCCTGAGGCTGTTCGAGGACATCCTGACCAGGATGGACTTCATCCACGTCGCCCAGTTCCTCACCAGGCTGCCCGAGGACCTGCCCGCAGATGAGGTTTTTGCCTCCATCGCTGCAGTTCAGATGCAGAGTCGCAACAAGAAGTGGGCTCAGGTAAGCGGGCCTTTTGGTCCTTCCTTCCTTGGAGCCCTTGTGCAGAGTCCTCTGAGGAGGCAGCCCTCTCGGTGGTTCCTGCGCTGGAGACCTGACTCTGAGGCCGGCTCTGCCAAGGGGCCTGTCAGATGCAGGGGCCGAGGCACCTCAGCCTCCACCCTTTCTGCGGCCCTGGGAGGTCAGCTGGTTTGTCATCACGGTGCTCCCTGCATGGTAGACAGCATTTGTAACCCCCCCCCCCTTAAAATGCCTGAGACGGAAGCCAAGGGGACTAGCACTCGCCCAGCCCCTCCTCCCGGGGAGGTGCTCCCGGACGAGGTCCTGCCCCCGCTTCCCTGGGCTGCGTTACTCCTTCACCTTCCCACACGTGCAGTCACGGCTGCTGCTCTTCCTTCCAAGTCCCAGGGGCTTCCCTGTGGCCACCCCCCACACCCACCCATACACAGAGCTCATACACACACACACACACACAATTCCCACACACCCATACACACACCTCATACACACACACACACCCATACACACACACAACCCCCACACACCTACCCACAGCCACACAGCCACACACACTCCCACCCCCGCCACATACACATACACACACACAGGCACACACACACAGAGGGAAGGATTAAACCCAGATCTGACATTTTGCTTCATATACTTTAGGAACTAAAATTACTGGTTAAAATGAGGTCAGAGTTTATTGGACACCATAGTGGGCTAGTGATAGGAGTTAGCTTGCTGGGGGGTGGGGTGAGCACCATGGAGTTCCACACAGCTCCGACAGGGGGCATTGTGGTCTGAGCACAGTCCTACAGGCTGTGCCCGAGGGAAGACCTGGTGAGCTTTACAAACAGGTGGATATTTGTTTGGGTGGCAGTGCTGTTTGCGCAGAGGTGGGGGCAGCTTGTATCTGTCATCAGTCCTTGGTGCCCCCTTTTGAGACCTAAATATTCCTGCTTTCCCTGTGGCTTGTAAGGAAGGTGGCGGGTGCCTGGCCGCTGGTGGGTAGCACCAGTGCTCCCTGGGTCCCTGGGTTTGGAAGTCAAACAGATGTGGGTTTGAGCCGGTGAGCTGTGTGGGAGCAAGTCACATCTGTGGGCGCTGTTGCTCAGGTGCCTTACGGTAGGGGTTACCTTGTTGGGGGTTACCTTCCTGCGCTGCTGATGCAGAGTAAACAGCTGTGAGCGAGCGCTTGTGGAGTGAGGGCTCTGCTTGGCATCGAGGGATTCAAGAACTATAGCTGTTGTCATTGCTGTTATTAAGCAATCACAGCGGGAAGTAATATTTACAAAACAAAGGTGTTAACTAAGCACTGCGAGCAGAGAGGAGGGAGCCCAGCCCCTTGGGAAGCTCAGGAAGGAGTGGGCAGCTGGCTTCGTAGTGGGGAGCACAGGGCGGATGTGAGGGAGAGCCCTGCACCCCGTCTTGTGGCTGGTGGGACAGGTGGGAGGGCATTGGTGCAGAGATGGCCTGATGGTCTCCACATCAGAGAGGTGCGCGGGGGGCCGGTGTGGAGCAGCAGAGGGGAGGCAGTCACCAGGTAGCCCCTGGGACCTGTGGTCAGTGTGTGCCCTGTGATTCCAGGTGCTGACGGCATTGCAGAAGGACAGCCGGGAGATGGAGAAAGGAAGCCCGTCGCTCAGACACTGAGGCGGCAGGCGGACTCGCGCTCGGCACCGGAGCAGAGCTGCCAGCGCACCCGTGCTGTTTGGGGCGGACATACTGGCAGCTGAGAATGGGGGCTGTTTTCCTGTTTGGTTCCTGGTACTGCAGTTGGCCTTAAAACAAACCAAACTTTTAAAGGATTAAACCAAGGCATAGCCTTAAGAAGCTCGGTGGAATGATGACCTAGTATTGACATGGCAACCACTGCACACTGCATGGTTTAAAAGTAGGGCGGCGGCTCTCTCCCCTTTTCCAGCAAACATAATTAAATTGCGCTGCTTCTATGTCACTACCGCCAGGGCGTAGTCTTTCTTGGCTGAGGTGCATGAGCAGGTGTTTGGGAGACCTCAGAGATGTTATGGCCCTTGGTTACCTACTTTGATGGGAGAGGGATTGCTGATTTAGTTACTGAGGTAATCGCTCCGGAGACAGGTCCAATTGTTAAAGCCCACCTACCAAAGATGCATAAGGCACACGAGCTCTCGTGGACGCCCTGGGACTCACCTGCCCTCGGAGTGACGTCTTACCATGTTGCCTTGACAGTCACAGCGCCAGGGCTCACATGCACGCGTAGGCCCAGCAGGAGCCCTGCGCTCCCAGAGATTGCCCGGCCCCTGTGGGGCAGTGGAGGGAAGGGGAGCAGGAGGAGCTCTGCACACAGAAGGCCCCAGGCGGCAGAGACAGCCCTGAAGCCGCTGGAAACAGATGGACACTGTCTCCCTGTAAGTCACAGGGTGTTAAGCCTGCCCTGCTCATTAGTGTGCAGGCGCGGACAGCACAGTGAGTGTGAGTGAGAGTGTGTGTGTGTGTGTGTGTGTGGCCCTGCTCATTAGTGTGCGGGCGCAGACAGCACAGTGAGTGTGAGTGTGTGTGTGTGTGGCCCTGCTCATTAGTGTGCGGGCGCAGACAGCACAGTGAGTGTGAGTGTGTGTGTGTGTGGCCCTGCTCATTAGTGTGCGGGCGCAGACAGCACAGTGAGTGTGAGTGTGTGTGTGTGTGGCCCTGCTCATTAGTGTGCGGGCGCAGACAGCACAGTGAGTGTGAGTGTGTGTGTGTGTGGCCCTGCTCATTAGTGTGCGGGCGCAGACAGCACAGTGAGTGTGAGTGTGTGTGTGTGTGGCCCTGCTCATTAGTGTGCAGGCGCGGACAGCACAGTGAGTGTGAGTGTGAGTGTGTGTGTGTGTGTGGCCCTGCTCATTAGTGTGCAGGCGCGGACAGCACAGTGAGTGTGAGTGTGAGTGTGTGTGTGTGTGTGTGGCCCTGCTCTCTTGCTCTGACAGAATGCTCCTCTGTCCTTTGTCACCTGGACGGCAGCGGCAGCCCTGAGTGCCTGTGCTTCCTCCTCGCACATTTGGCTTAAAGGTGGACTCTCATGAGGACCGAGAAGCGAGCCACGCATATCCAGTGGCCCAGAGAGTCCTGTCACCTTTTCAGTGTCCTTACCGTCAACCTTCCCATTCTAGCTGGTTCCCCAAGTTCATGAGCACCTCTTTGTTCTAGATTTTCCTTGATGAATTTTGAGAACTTTGTATTAGGGACTTTGGTTATCCAACTTCAAATAAATGAATAGTTTTTGCACAGAGTAGTCCAAAGGACGGCACCTCTCTATGGAAACAGGTTCCCACGGGATAATCCATTGGCGTGTTGATCTCTGGGGTGTGGGCTACCCGGCGGCAGGGCACCGGCAGCCGTGCGGTGCGCGCTGGGGTCTGGCTCTGGCCTTTCTCGGCTGGACTCCCAGCCCAGGGAGCATCCCCCGCCCGCCAGGCTGGTCCTGTGTCTGATGTTGGGAGTGCCCTCAGCTTCCAGCGTGTAACCTGCAATGAGGAGCCTTAGGGAGGGTGGAGGGTGAAGCTGGCTGTGCGCTGTTTGATAGGTTTTCTGTGTCTGTCGCGTCCACTGATGACACTTGCAGTGCAATAGCGAGTTGCCAGCCAGTGGCTGCCCTCGTGCCTCTGTCCTGGCTGCGCTCTGTGCGTCCTTTCCCCGGAATTGCCTTTGTTCCCTGTCTCCCATGCATTCCCCAGGGAGGCTGCAGAGCAGCATGGAAGCCACTCTCTGCCTCGGCCTTTCAGTGCTGACTCGCCGACCTCTGGGAGGAGATCTGCCCTGCGGTCTCGGTCTCTGCGCCTTCCAGACAGAGCAGCCGGTCCGACACCCCGATGCTGAATGTCACCCGACTGAGCCGCTGCGCAGGGGCGCCCGTTTCCTTCCATGGCGCGCTTCCTGTTCCTGAGACCTGCACCTTTTCTTACGGCCCATAGGATGTTCCTTCTGTCGTGACAGGAAGTGGTGCAGCTGGCGGTGGGGCCCTCAGAGCGCATCTGTGCATTCAGACCCAGCCCTGAACGGGTTTCGTCGGCTTGAACCTCTTTGGATAGCAATTTGCATTAAGTTTTTGGGTTGTTTTAATCCTCACCTGAGGATATTTTTTCCGTTGATGTCTAGAGAGGGTGGAACAGAGTGGAGAGAGGGAGGGAGGGAGAGAGAGCGAGAGAAGCAACCAAATGAGACACATCGATTGATTGGTTGCCCCCCCCCCCCCCAGGTGCCCGACAGGGGCTGGGGAACCTGCAGCCAAGGTACGTACCCTTGACCGAGAATCGAACCTGCAACCCTTCAGTCCACAGGCCAACACTCTAACCACTGAGCATTGGCCAGAACTGCATTACATTTTTAAACAAGATTCCATGTCATCAGAATACTTACAAGTCTCTAGTTCAGAAGAGGTTTTTGTGACCTGCTCAGGGACCCCGTGAGGGCTGGCTGGCTGGCTCTGTCCCCTTCAGAGCCCAGGAAGTGCTCATCCGCGTCAGAGCACGTGGCCCCTGCACAGAGGGCTGCTTCCGAGCTCAGGGCTGTGCTGCTCCACTTGCCAGTATCCATTAAGAAAACTGGGAACAAACCTGGAGGCCCAACCTCGGAGCCCACACCTCCCGCCCCCGGCCTGGACCGGGTGCAGCAGCCCAGGCCTCAGGGCCTCCTCTAGAGCCAGGCTTCCCTGTAGAAGAGCCTTCTTAGCTGCTCAGTGTGACTATTTTAAATAGTTTGCTGGTAGAAAACGTCTGCTAACACTTGCTACATACCATGTTTTAATTGCTGTACAGTTAGCCTTTGATCTTATGTAGTAAAGTGTATCAAATTAGGACTTTTTGAATTGTAAATATATGGTTTTATTAAATAAAACTCATGTAAAATTGTTACTTATATTCCCTGTAGTCGGGTTTAAAATTGAAGTTCTCACCGTAAAGTATGGCAAATATTTGACTTGGAGTGTTATGCTGTTCCAGTATTTCAAACATCACTTAAAAGGATCGCTGAGATCAAAAGAATGGTACTGTTGGGGTAATTTGGTTAAGGGGTCAGGAGTTTAGTGCACCCCTTCCAAGCTGAAGGGGAGCCCTGGACTGGCTGCCCCCTCATACTTGACTCTGCCCCCAGCTGTAGCATTTCCCACTCACCTGCCACTCACCTGCCCCCACTCCTGAGCCTGCGCCCCGCCCGTCAGGTCCCGGCTTCCTCAGTAACTGCTTGGAGCCGGTCAGCCAGGTGCTACCCCGAACCCCCATCAGCGGGCGCCCTGGGCTCTCCCCCGGGCTAGTGTGGGCCCCGGTTCCTGTCTGTGGAGCGGACATCATTAATACTGCCCTTTAAGGGGTGGCTGAAGCGACCCTCAGGGTCACCAGACAGTGGGAGTAATCCTGTGGGTCACACGGGGGAGCCTGGGGGGTGCCTGTCAGGCCAGAACAGGAGGCCCAGGAGGGAGCCCTGAGGACTGCGCTCTCTTGTGTTTGTCCCCTGTGACTGTCCCAGATGCTGCCACCCCCTGTCCACCCCTCACATCACCTCAGCCTCCATGCCTGTCCTGGGAATATGCCCCCTGGGCCCGCCTCCCCACCCATCCTCACGGAGACTGGGACCAGCAGCTCTGGGGCATCCACTCCGATGTCTTTGGCCCCACATGGTGCCCGGCAGCCCCACCTTTCCCACCAGTGACCTGCTTCGCTCCCTGGCCGCTGCTGTTTCTCTTCACAGGCTGCGTGCGAGGTGAGCGATGGACGGGTGGTCACGGTTGTTAACGCAAAAACCATTGAAACCTGTAAAGAATTTTTGTAAGTTTATTTGAGCTAAACTGTTGACATAGGCCGGGAAGCAGAACCTCAACGAATTGAGATAATGCTCCAGAGAATGGCGGGGGTACATTTGTATTTATACATTTGCAATCAAAGGAGGGCCGTAGGTGGGTTACATGAAATTCATTGGTGATAGATTAAGGAGGAGGGATAAAGCAAATCAGGGAAACCCCTGGGATTGGATAAAAAGTAAAATGATGGACACACACTTAGGTGGGTGCAGGATCAATTAACATGATAATGAAGGAATTTGTGGTATCTGTCCTGGCGCCCAGCACATTTGGTTGGTTGTGCCCCAGGGGCTCCAGAAAAAGGGAAGTTACAAGTTACCCAGACACTTCAAGGGTATGTTATCATAGATGCAAAAAGACAGACAGGCTCAGTTAAGGTAAAGGTTGACCTTGTCAGTGAAGATACTGGCCTAGGACGTAACTGCCCACCATGACTGCTTTTAGTTAAAGTTTAATTTCAGACCATCCTTTGTGGTGACTTTAGGTCTCCGAGTTTGCAAGTCTGCCATGCAGGCCTCCCCTGAGCTGTCAGGTCAGCACGTGGCCCCTTTGGTCCACACGGTGGGGTCACAGCGCTGGCTGTCCACCCCTGTATTAAGTGCTCTGTGGCCTCATGTCTCTACAGCTGCTCTGTGATTGTGCCCATTTCACAGGTGTGACTCAAGTGATCTGCTGGGGCTCCTGCAGCCAGTGCGTGGCAGGGCTGGGTTCCCCCTGGTCTGTGGCTCCCAGCCCCTGTGCAGACACACCCTCCCAGAGAGCCCGCTTGCCCCCAGGCCTGGGCAGCCTGCCTCCTCCGCTCCACGCTCCACAGGCAGGGTTTGGGGTGAGGCCTGGAGTCACTTGCTCCCCAGAGCCCCTCCTGTGTGGGAGGCACCAGGCCTGGAGAAGCAGGCCAGGCTGGCCCCAGGCCAGCTCCTGGGCACCGGCCTCAGGGTCTTGCAGGAGCAGTGGGGGTAGAAGTTGGCGAATGTTTTCCTAATTGAAACTGAGGGGAGGAGCTGCAAGTTCAAAAGCCAGCACCTGAAGCGTGGGAGCCTGCCATGAAGGCAGGTTGGAGGACACTGCAGCAGGTGGGCGGAGAGGCAAGGTGACACCAAGGTGGACTAGAGATGAGCTGTTGGCCACCAGCTGGACCAGAGGAA